GAGCCAGGAAAGAGGGGGAGCCAGGAAAGCGGGGGAGCCAGGAAAGGCGGGGAGCCAGGGAAGGGGGAAGCCAGGGAAATGGGGAGCCAGGGAAGGGGTGGGGAGCTCCCACACCCCTCAGGGCTGGTCCTCAGGAGGATGGCAGCTGGGCTGGGAGGGTCCTTGTGCAGCATGTGTGCAAGTGTGCGCAGGATAAGGAGACAGTGGGCAGCCCCTCCCACGAGCACATGCACCCCCATCACTCACCGCCTGGGCTTGGACACCTGGGAGCTGAACTTGGTGAATTCCCCGGGCGCCGTCCACTCAGAACCAGTCTAGAGGGTGACAGAGCAGGGGTGGTGGGGGGCTCACTCTCTCCTTGGGGACACCAGACCCATCTGGTTCTCCTTCCCAAGAGGCTGGAAGGACAGGTGACTGAGCTGCAGGAGGCCCAGGAAGACGACGGGGCTGGGGTGGGGGTACCTTGCCCACGAAGGCCACCAGCTGGGCAGCAGCTGGGCTCTCGTCCAGGCTCAGCCAGAACTCCGAGTTGTCATCTGAGGCCACAGAAAACTGGACGTCTCCTAGTCCACAAGACTAGCCTCAGTGGGGTGGGGCCTCACGACACCACCCCCTCCCAGGGCGCCCTCACCCCCGTACCATCCCTCGCTGGGTGGATGAAACCAAAAATACGGAGTCCATAGTTCTTCCACTTGGGGGACACAGCCAGCTTCTTCACGGTGGTGCGGGTCTTGGGGGGAGCAGTGACCGTTACTGTTGAAGCCCCCCACTCTCCCTGCCCACCCTGCACCCCCAACCCCGGCACTCACATGAGGGAACAGCGGGAAGTGCAGGTTCCTCCTCAGGTGGCCCACGGCGCCCCCACACCAGTCCTCAAACACGTGCAGGTTCACCTGCCCCTTGTACTGGGGACGGGAGGGCCTCACCCACTGCACGGCCCGCCGCCCCCAGTCCCCGCCCTGCCTCCCAGCCCATGGCAGGCCAAGCAAGCTCACCTCCTCCCGCCATGGGGGTGTCTGATGGGTGAAGTTCAGTGGCAGCCTCCTGGCCCCCCCAGGAAATAGCATGTTTGGGTCCCGACCTTCGGGCTGCAAGAGAGAAAAGGCAGCAGGGTCAGGGCTCAAAGAGCAGGGAAGGGGTCACACACCCCAAGCCGGACCTTCACAAGGATGCCTTTCAACTGTAGCCACACGGCCCTAGATGCCCGAGAGCCTACAGCCATGCAAAGCCTGAAGCATGGCGCCTGGCACACACTCAGACGCCCTGGTCACTCCAGCCCAGGAAGGTGCTCGGCTGCCCCACACACTGCCCACCAGCACATTTATGCACCTGCTGCAGCCCCGAGACAGCTTCAGGCAGGATGCCTGGTGCTGGAGCACACACAGACGACCTGTGACGCGTCCACCACCCACGTGTCCTGTGTCTTCTGTCCCCCCCCCGCTGCACCCTCCAGAATGGACAGGTTCTCCCACGTGTCCTGTGTCTTCTGCCCCCCCCACCCCCACTGCACCCTCCAGAATGGACAGGTTCTCAAGCCACCAACGCACGAGTGGCTTTGGGGTCTTGTGAGCTTATGCACACCCGTTCTTCCCAAGGCCCTGCTCACCGCCTGCTCCTCTTCACGGCTCTCACTGGAGTCCTCCGCCCTCTGTGTGGATGGCACAGCGTGGACGCCCCGGCCGTCGGTCACACTGGTCAGCTTCTCACCGTCTGCAGGTGGCACATGAGGTCTGTCTGGGGCCTAGGCTCTCTCCAAGGCCATTCCACCTGCTGCTGGGGTCAGTGGGGCAGGGACCACATGGCTGGAGCAGGACAGGGAGGTGGTGTCCGCGCTAAAGCCTGTCTTCCCATCTGCTTCCTCTGCCACGGGATGACCCACCCCACAGCGAAGCAGCTTCTTCTACACCTCGCCTCTGGTGGGGCGGCCTGGCCTAAGCCTTCCACCAGGCTTTTCCCATCCTGCAGCTGGTGTGAAGGAGGAAAGCCGGGTGCACCAGCTGGCGTGTGTAGGCACCCACATGCACTCCCATCTGGCCCTTCTTGTCGAGCGGGTCTGCCTCCAGGAAGACCCCAGGCCTGCCCTGCACCCTCAGCCTTTCTGTGTGCCGGAGTGTCCACGTCTGCCTCCCTTACCAGGACTGGGAACTCATGCTTAGTGCCAGACACTGTGAAAAGGAAAGCCAGCACTGCTTCTCCGGAAGGATCTGAGCTTTCCAAGTCTGGACTGAGGGACACGCGTGGATGCTGAAGCCCAGGCGTGGCCCTGGGTTGAGTGTCCTTGAGCAGGAGGGGCAGGAGGGGCAGAACTGGGGTGAAGCAAAGCCTCCCTTTAGATGCCCAGGTCCCCCTGCGGCCCTCAGCTTAGGGAGGTCCAGGAGGTGGAGAGGGCTGGAGCACAGAGGCCTGCCCAGGCTCCAGTGGGGACGCTGTGGAGAGGTCCACAGGCAGCAGACCTGGGAAGGGTCTGTCTCTCCCAGGCACTGTCGGGCTCCTTTGCTCGTGGCCCTGGCCTCAGGCGCAGCAAGTGGTACAGGTGTTGTGGGCAGAGCTGGCCTGGCCTCAAGGGGTCCTTGGAAGAGGGGTTCCTCTGCCTCTGCCCTGCTAAGTTGGGCTTAGGCCCCTGGCTGCTGAGAAAACTAGAGGCACCTGAGGGGGCAGGGGGAGGCTGGTTTTGTTCGGGGTCACTGGGTCAGCTGTGGACCCTGCCCTGTCTGCTGATAGCTGGGTTGGGGCTTTTAGGGATTCAGTCGCATTGGGGGTCTCTTGAGGGTGTGGCAGCCGTGAGGTATGTGGGTTGGGACTAGAACCAGACCCTTGACCTGTGTCGGGCCGGCCATCCCAGCACAGGAAAACACAGAGAGGCTCTGGCAGGTAGAATGGCCCAGGTGTCCCCAGCCAGTGTCACTGTTCTGCCCTTACAGCACACCCCATCCCTGGAGAGGCTCAGAGGCAGCCAGCTGGGGTTTCTCCCACTCTGGGGATGGTACTTCCCTCCCTCCTTTGGGAGGGGGCAATCTGCCCCTCCTTCCCCCCTCCCCACCCCAGGCTTTCACGTGCACCTTCCTGTCTGGAATCCTCTTTCCCCCAAAGGTGTGTGTCAAAGATCACCATCTCCAAGAGGCCCTCCCCCGCTGGCCCGCGGACGATCTGCTTTGTTTGTGGGTTGGGAGAGCTTACTCCAGGCTCCCCAGGCTGGGCCCATCCCCACACCTGGATCCCCAGAACCGTGGCACAGTTCACTGAGGGCACCCCCGAAGCGTCCCAGCTGCACTGGCCACTTCGCCGTGCCCCGGCCCCGGTCCCCAGCACGCGGGGGAAACTGAGGCCCTGCTAAGCGGGCAGGTGGTAGAGGCCAGGCCTGAGAAGCCCTCTCGGGAGACTCAGCAGGGTCGGGGGCAGGGCCTCCCCGGGAGCCCACCGTTAGCCCCCTCACGGCCGGATCCAGGCCAGAGCCCGGAGTCAGGGACCCTCCCAGAGGGTCGCGCGCGTCACCGCCGACGTCATCGGGCGTCCGGGCCGAGCCGAGCCGCGCCCCCTCCCCCCAAATCGCAGAGGTGGGGACGGCGGGCGGGGGCTCCGGGCGGGTCGGGCCCAGCCGGGACCCGCGCCGGGGGGAGACCCGGGCCCCGCCGCCCGCGCCCCCCGCGCCCCCGCGCCCCCGCGCGTACCTCGCCCGTCGCCCAGGCGCTGGCGCAGCCCGCGGCCCTGGCGCACCAGGCCCAGGTGCAGGTAGGTGAGCCACGCGGCGCAGCTCAGCAGCAGCAGCAGCAGCAGCAGCTTCACCTGCTTGCGGAGCTTCTTCACCGGCAGCCACGGCATCGCGGCCGCCGCGCCCGACCCCGGCCCCGCTCAGCGGCGCCGCCGCAGCCCCCGGCCCCCGCCCGCCCCGCGCCGCATCCCCGGCCCGCCCCGCCGCGCTCAGCGCCCGCGGCCCCGCATGGTCCTTTGTCCGCCGCCCGCGGCCGCCGGGTGCGGCCGCGACCCCCAGGCTGCCTCGGCCGCGGGCCCGGGGTGGGCGGCGGGGGCGGCTCCTCGCGGTGCCCCCGGCCCGGCCCCGCCCGGCCGCTCCCGGCTCCGCGCTCCTGGGGCGGCGGCGGGACCGAGCAGCATCCGCGCCGCGGAGCTGCCCACCGCGAACCGGGCCCCGGCCGCGCGCGGAGCCAATCGGGCCGAGCCAGGCCGCGGGGAGCCAATGGCGGCGCGCGGGGCGGGGCGCGGGGTGCGGGCGGGGTGCGGGGCGCGCGCGCATCCACCTGGGCCACGGAGCGGCGCGCGGGGGGCGCGGGGGAGGGGGAGGGGGACGGCCCGGCCGGGAGTCGGGGCAGCCTCCTGAAAACAGCGTGACCCGGACCGGAGCGGACGACACGGAGGAGGGAGAGAAGGGGAGCCGCGCGCTTGGGGCGGGGAATGGGGGGGACGGGGCGGGCGACAGAGGCTGGGGGGCCCCAAGCGCGGGCTTCGGCCGGGGGTCGGAGTCGCTGAGGGATCTCAGGGCTGGACCCCCGGGGGCCGAGGCTGTCCCCGCGGTAGGAGGGGCCCAGCTGGCCGCCTCCACCCCGCGGAGCGCGGCCGGACCGTCTGTGCCTCTCGCCCGGGCCTTGTCCCACTGCCTGCGGGTTCTTCCCTGGTCCGCACCAACCCCTGCCAGTCCCCTCCGTCCCCCCAGCACGTCCCCTGCGCAGCTGCCAGCGCCACCCTTCCCTCCTCCCTCGTCTGTTCCGTTGTCTCCGGAGACACCCGATGTCCAACAAACCACCCCTCTCCGTGCTGTCCAGCAACAGCGTCCCGTGGGTCAGGAGCTTGGGGCGCTCAGGACAGCTCCTCCCGGATCCCCGGGGTGCTGGGCTCCGGTGGGAGGACGTGACGGGCCGGGCGGCTCCGCGGGACAGGCCGGAGCCATCCAGAGGCCTCTGTGCGGTCTGGGGCACCCTCGGCTGGAATGGCGGGGCTCACCCGGGCTCCGGGGCACCTGCACGCCCAGCTGGCAGGGGAGGCCTCCCGGTGCAGCGCAGTGAAGCATCTTGGAGTCACCCCTCCAGGTTTGCCACATGGCATCGCGGCCACCCAAGTTTGTGGGTTGTGGGGATGTGGACCCCCTCTCACAATGGAAGACTGCCCAGAAGTTGCCTTCTTATTTTAATTTAACCCTCGACTCCACCCTCCATCCCCTCCATCCTCCTCTCCTAGCTTCAGAGCTTGGGAGCCAGTTGGTTACATCCGCTGTCCATAGCTGCCCTTAAACAGCTCCATATCTCCCCAGCCTTCCCCCAGGCCATCAACTCCTCATCTCCCACCTGCAGGCCACTTTCCATATTTACATTATCCGCATGTTCACTGAAATATAGTGCCCCACCCCTTTTGGAGACAAGGTCTCACTCTCTCCCAGGCTGGGGTGCAGCGGTGCAATCTCGGCTCACAGCAGCCTGGACCCCTCCAGGGCTCCAGCAACCCTCCCACCTCAGCTTCGTGAGGAGCTGGGACTGCAGGCACATGTCACCATGCCAGGCTAATTTTTTGTACTTTTTATAGACCCGGGGTCTCGCCATATGCCCCAGGCTGGCATTGAACTCCTGGGCTCAAGCCATCCTCCCACTGTGGCCTTCTGAGGTGCTGGGTTCCAGGGAGAGCCCCTGAGCCCGGCCAATAGCGTTCTTAGGTATCTCGTTCTGACTCTCCAAACCCCGTATTTTTTATGGGTGTCTGTCTTGCTGTGCATCTAATGCCTTCCCTCTTTTCACTGCCTGGCGCCCATCCTAGGCGCATATAGCCAGCCAGTGGACACTACCTCGTATTCTAGTGTTCTGACCAGCCAGGGACTTACAGGACACAGTGAGTGAGACAGAAAAGGGCCCTTCTTTCATAGAGTTTATGTGTCACAAGGCAGGGACACACAAGTGGGCACGTGGTGACGTTGCTAATGGTGAGTTTATGTCACGAGCAGGGACACACAAGTGGACA